AATTATCCTACCCATGACTTGGAGCTTGCTGCTGTGGTGTTTGCCTTGAAGATTTGGAGGCACTATCTTTATGGTTCTTCCTTTGAAGTCTTTAGTGATCATAAAAGTTTAAAATATTTGTTTGATCAAAAGGAACTCAACATGAGACAGCGCAGATGGATTGAGTTTTTGAAGGATTATGACTTTGAGTTGAAGTATCATCCAGGGAAAGCTAACGTAGTCGCCGATACTCTGAGCAGGAAGCTTGTACATATTGCTCACATGATGGTTAGAGAACATGAATTATGGAGTAGTTTTCATGTAGTAAATGTAGAAGTAGTCGAGAATTGTTTGGCTGCTCTACACATTACTGAATTTGAGAATAATTTTTGGGAAGAAATTAGAATTGCGCGGCAGAAGGACGATGATTTGAATAAGATTAGGGTAGAGATTGGGGCTGGAAAGGCTAAACATTTTGATGTGACCGATGATGATGTCGTAAGATATAAAGGTAAAGTGTGTGTGCCTAATGATGCTCGATTGAAAAATATCCTACTTGAGGAGGCTCATCAGAGTAGATATACCATTCACCCAGAAGCAACTAAGATGTATCATGACTTAAGACGTGGTTAGTGGTGGCCAAGGATGAAGAGAGATGTAACTGAACATATAACTCTTTGTTTGACTTGCCAGAAAGTCAAAATTGAGCATCAAAAACCAGCCAGAATGCTACAGTCTCTTAATATTCCAAAGTGAAAATGAGATAACATTTCTATAGACTTCATTACAGGATTGCCTAGAACATCTTCTGGTCATGACACTATATAGGTAATCGTAGATCGACTCACCAAATCAGCTCATTTTCTTGCTACCAATATCACGTATTCTCTTGAAAAATTAACTAAAATCTACATAAGAAAAGTGGTGAGATTGCATGGAGTGTCGACAAATATCGTATCTGATTGTGATCCAAGGTTCACATCAAACTTTTGGAAGTCATTACAGGAAGCCATGGGTATTCGTTTGAATTTGAAGTAGGTGACCATGTATTTTTGCAAATTTCTCCGGTAACTGGTGTTAGAAGAGTTATTAAGGCTAAGAAGTTGACACCAAGGTTTATGGGGCCTTTTGAGATCTTAAAACGAGTTGCACCAGTAGCGTATCAAGTAGCATTACCACCCCAAATTGCTGGTATACATAATGTATTCTATGTATCACAACTGAAGAAGTATCAACCAGATCCTTCCCATATAATTGAACTCGAGGAGATTGAACTCAGGGAGAATTTAACATTCAGAGCTGAACCGAAAGAGATTGTGGATTATAAGGACAAGCAATTAAGAAACAAGACCATTAGATTGGTTAAAGTAATCTGGAAGGGCACAACTTCAGGTGATGCTACGTGGGAGACTGAGGACAGTATGCGACGTGATTATCCTCATCTTTTTGATTAAATAAGTAGTTAATAGTTACTAACTTCAAATTTTGAGGACAAAATTTTTAAAAGGAGGGGAGAATTGTAACATCCCAATTTAAATTTTAATAGTTAGTTTGGGTTAATAGAAATTTTAAAAAAATATTTAGAGGTAAGCAAATTAGTAGGAGATGATTATTAAATCTAACTTAGGATATAATTCTAAATTATTTTTTTTTAAATTTCTATTAACCCAAATTAACTATTAAAATTTAAATTGGGATGTTACACAGTTATCTACTCCCTTAGCTTCCACTAGCTCAAAAATGTCCGCACCATAATTTTTCTGCAAGATTAAATACTAATCATCAAATCACAACTCTTATAAATACACTTTTAAGTTAAGATAGATTGCCTTCACTTTCCAAAATTCATCATTAGGCCAACCAACACTCTAAGAACAATCCATCAACTTTATTTAACATCTATAAGCTTATACAATATTAAATTAATACCCATATTACTTCCTATCCTCCATTTTAAGTCTAGGATTTGTCCAAACCTTAGCTCAAAGCTTCAAATCACCATATAATCATCAAACTTGAATATAGAAGCTTTAATTAACTTCCTATAAATTCAAAGAACTTAGTAGGTTCGAGCATTACTCAAGGGGAGATGGATTCAACACCTAAACTTATCTAAAACCCTAAAAAATTTGAATAGGCCAGAGGGGGAAGAATATGAAACTTACCCAATGGATGCTCTAGTTTAGAATACCTCCAAAGTAGTCAAATACTAAAGCCCTAACAATCAAAGCTCTCTTTTGATCATCCTTCACTCATTTCTTTCTCCTCCTCTCTATTTTCATGCTACACTGGTGATACATTTAATTGAAATTTGTCTTGTCTGTTGAGTGTATGGTCTATAGGTCATGACAGATGGCACAGTGAGGCTAACTCAAAATTTAGTCTTGCTTTTAAGCTCAGTCAGCATAAACTCAATCGTATTCTGCTTGTAAGGTTGTTCAAAGATCCAACAAACCTATTAGTAGTTTGGAAACACCATTAATTCAATAAATGCTTTATTTTACCCCTATGAAATCCTCAAGATTTTAAGTTCTTCAATTTGAGGATGTTATAGTTGACCACTCATAGAACATGTCATACAACACCTTAAACACAAGCATTCATTTACATTGCATGCAATCTTTATAGTTTGATTACAATTATCCAATACGATTAATATGAAAAAACATTATAAATGAGCATAAATAAAGTTATCTACTTCAAATACTTTGTAATTCATTTAATTCTAACCAAATAAGGCCATGAATGTCACAAAAACCCATTTTATGGCATTCAATAAGAGATTAATAAAAAATATAGGAGTTACATGCTCAACTACATGACATATGCCTTAAGGTTGGCAATTACATGGCAACTTAAGGAAATAAAGGCTTACTAGGCCAAGTAGTGTCCATACACACCAACTACTCTCCCGATGCTTCTTCGATTGGACTCTTTTTTATAAAAATATTAATCACAAGGATGAGACACAAAGGTCCCAATAATCAAATTTAATATACGATGATAGATGTGATGCAATTAACTATACGTTTACTAAGTGGGTATATTAAAACATGTTTCCAAACACAAAATATTCAATAATTTAAACAAGATGCTTGACTACACATTATATCACTCCATACATCATGCCTGTAACCAATAAATCTACTTAAAGGTAAGTCAGTTTAAGCTAAGTACCGCTTGTTAGGTTGAATAAGGGCATACCAAGTGGTAAATAACCTTCAAACAAAATCCCTAACACATTTCAAACTTGATGAGTCATGCATATTTAACATATATCTAAACAAGAAAAAACATAATTGAACACTTTTTCATGCTTTTGAACACAAGATTTTATACTGAACAATATATAAATATATGTATGTATATATATATATAGTATCCCAATCAACAATTAATTCTCCAAACACCAAATATGCTTTCCAAACATATCAAAATCACACGTAGCAAATCACAAAACACATAGAATCACACATTAATAGTGGTTACTTTTTCTCCTTGAAAATAGAGCTTCTAGAACAAGTGGTTTTTCATCTCTAACAGTGCCAATATTATGATTTACAAATAATGTGACACTAATTATAATCAATACCATGCTAACAATGGATAATCAAAGTGTTAATATACTAGTCACATCTTGATCCTAAATTTTAATTAGTCTAACTAATCCATAACTGTCCCCAACCATTCAAACCTCCTAAGACACTTATAATCATTATCATTATACCCACTCATAACTTATTTAGCCCTTACATATCTAAATTGTCATTAAAATCACCTAACAATTTCTAGGGTTTCAAATTTAATCATCCTATTACCTTAAACAACCTTAAATATCATCTAAATAACACTTATATATATATATATATATATCCTCAAAACACTCATTTAAGTTGGACCTAAGGGCTGTCATTATCAGAAATGAAAACCCTTACCTCAAGGATCATTTAAACCCTTTTAAAGAAGAGAACAAAAGATGATAGAAGGTTTAGAAATGTTATCTTGAGTGATTTAAGCCTCAAAGATGCACCTTAGGGTTAAGAACTCCAAAACCCTAAAAATCACCCAAAAACACTCAAAATTCTCTCCCTCTAACATTTGTTCAACTAACAAACACTTAATAGAATTTTTGGGTCATGTGTCACAACAAACACATCATATATTGTGACATATAAAACAGAAACATAGTACTTTATTTAAGCCCAATTATTTAGGTCCAGTCCAACCTAATACCTATCTTAGACTTCATTTAGCCCAAATATATCATTCTAGGCCTGTTTTAAGTCATAGTTTGATACCCAAATACATGATTGACCTTAATTACAATTTATTCCCCAAATCAAACCTCAAAATAACATCAACCCTAATTATACATCCTCAATTGAAACCTCAATTTGCACGATTAATTTATAACTTAAAAATTAGGAAGTTACATCTGATCCTTGAAACTTAACATTTTCTACTATACTCTTTTCAATTATTATCAGAAGGCACTTTTTATGAGATAGTCACTTAATGGGGTATTAGTCAAAATTTTCCAATATTACCCTTTTCAAATAAATTATCAATGAAAAATGCTATGCAAATTTATTTTTTTATACAGCTAAAATGAAAATTTTATTTTTTTAAAATTAAGTTATTTTTTTAGTCAATTTATATTAAGTTATTGATTCAATTACCTTTCTTCAATTTCAATTGGTTAGAGATGAAATTATTAATTTTTTGTGCTATAGCTTGAGACATATTGACGAGAAAAGGGAAAAACAATAGCACATTTTTTTAAGTGATAAAATTAATGTTTAAAATAAACTAGTATTGTTCAAAAACATAATTCTAATGTCATTGAGGTTGAGTGAGGAGAAGCTTTGACGATGGAAGAATACACAAGCAGGCGGATTGCAAAATAAGTTGTCTGAGCCCGGGTTCGAACCGGGGACCTCTAGTGTGTGAGACTAGCGTGATAACCAACTACACCACCCAGACAACGACGAAATGTGATCTCAATTATTTATTTTATTATGAAATCATTTTGTTTTTCATCCTTACAAAGAAAACCACCAGGGCTGCTGCGAGAGCCTGGACGAAGATCGAACGACTGAAAATCTGAAATAATGGATGCACGTCATGCGTCCCTGGGTCGACGTACGGTAAATAGTTCATCCTTGTCTTTCTTGATATCCACGCTGCTCTTTTACGCATCGCCTTCGGTATACTGGAAACTGGTCCTGTCTTTTTCAAGTCATCATCAATTTTTATTTTTCACCTTGTCAGATTCAGCGTGGTGATTTCTATATCAATTTATGCTTATTGTTCGCTTTTAATTGAATTGAATGCCAATCCTACAGTTGGAAGAGATTCGTCAAAAAAGGGCAGCTGATAGATTAAGCAAAACTTCTTCGGGACAAGATCTGAGCAAAATCCCGAACCCCGCTGGTCTGTGTTGTTGGGGAAAAGAATCTCTTACGTCTATCTTTCGATGTGCATCTGTTACCATTCAATTGTATATTTTGTGGAATGAAATCGCTTTCCTTTTCCCTTTTGTCCTTAGAAATTGCGGGAATGAAGAAGTCGGAGAGCACAAATAAACTTTCCGATGTAATAAACATTTCTATTCACATGTCTTCATCTCCTCATCTTTCTTTCTTACTCTTTAATAATCTATATTGAACAATTGCTTACAGACGGATATTAGTTCTTTACTATCACAACTAAAAGACCTGCAGAAAAAGAACTTTGATTTGGAGGAAGAAAACAAGAAAATAACTTTAAAGGTAAACTTATTGAATTACAACTATAATTGCACTAAAAGACGAACGTGTTTAGTGATATATTCGTCTCATTTTGCAGCTTCAAACAATGGAAATTGACTACAGTGCAATGCAAAAGCAGCTGAATGACTTAGTAAGTCAAAAGCATTGTATGATTTTTTTATTTGATTTGCATGTATGATACTGCAGATTACCTCCTAAACCCAAACCTACCATGCTGCTTAGTTGGTTTGATTGATTGCATTGCAAGCTCCAGTCTGTAGATTTGGAAAATAGCTAAGCCACATTGGTCGCCCTGCTATTATTATCAGAAACTGTGTTATGCTTTATTTGTGATGTCGCCTCTGTTCTTGGTAGTTTGAATTTTTATGCTGTGTTTTGGTTGTACAGATATTCTGCCATTCACTGATTCTGTATTTTAGTTCTAAAGCCAATTATTTGGTCAACAGGAGCAAAGCACTTTGCCATCTCTAAGGAAAGCTCTCAAGGATGTTGCAATGGAGAAAGATGCTGCAGTTGTTGCACGGGTAATTTTTATGTCTAAATATTTTGTTGCCCCTCCCTCCTTTTTTTTAAATTTTAAATATGTTCCATATGATTCTATATTGCAGGAGGATCTTTCAGCCCAGCTTCGTACACTGAAGAAACACTTAAAGGAAGCCGAAGACGAACAATATCGTGTATGGGAGTCTTACTTTCCTGAAGAACTATGAAATGCTGGACATTTCTTCTTAATATTTTATTGCTTATCTTGTTCTAGGCAGAGGAAGATGCAGCTGCTCTGAGAGCAGAATTAAACTTGATTCAGCAACAAGCAATGACTAGCACGGGTGGTACAATTTCACTACCTGGCATTCCTCCAGAACAAATTCAAAGATTAGAAAATGAGTTGGCAATTTTGAGATCAGAGTGGCAGGTTAATTTATGTTATTGACATCTTCGGTCCTTTTTCTTTAGTTTATTTTTGGTTTTCTAATGGTGTTTCCAATCTTCAGCGAGAATCGCTGTTGAGGCAGCAGGAACAGCAACAACTAGCCATAGAGCAAGCCCGCATTGCAGCACTGATCTCTGAAAAGCAGGAGCTGGAGGAGAAATTTAACTCCATTTCTAGAAAAGCCGCAGGTAACAAAACTGTGGATGCTGTTTCATTAATGTAATTGTTTAGCATGCGGCTGCTCTTGGGTGTTTTGTGCCATTGCTGCATTTTAATTTCCTCAGAAGCTACAGAAGAGATTGATCAAAACACTATGTTCTTTTGCTGATCAATTCTTTGGTACTGCCACTATGTTGTTTTTGTGAAAGAAAAAGTGTGGGCGGGGGTTGGAAATGCTAGTTTGTTGACTTGTTCTTGTCAAGAAATCCAAATATAATACTTGCTTGACTCAATCTCCTCCCCCCCCCCCCCCAACTCTGAATCATGTAGATTCACGTTTTCCTTGTATAAGTTCCATAGATTCTTCATCAGAGTCATGATTGCTAGTTCCTTAAAGAATTCATCACTGTCATCATCTCCTCTTTTTCTCTCTTTAACATTTCTTGTTGAATTGGCATGCCGTGTGATGATGCTGACCCTAGTTTGTTTCGATGCAGAAGTCCCAGAAAAAGTAGGGGAGAAGAAATTTTCCGTGGTTAGTGAACTTCTTAAGTCCTAGGTGGTGACCTTGAATTTATTTTGAGACTTGTTCTTGGGGTGATTACGTATGGTCAATATTTGTATATGTTTTCTTGGAAATCTCATAGCGTTAACCCAAGCAACTTCATCTAAATCTCGTCCTTCTCATAATTATTGTGTACTGCTCATCTAATCTCTTTCTTATATTGATCAAATGATGAGTGAATTGGAAATTTGTATTGTTCCGTTCTTAATCTTTCTTTGTTGGAATATTCTAATTTCAGGAAGACAGGCTGAAACTAGAGAATCAGCTGCATGATATGGCTTTAGCTGTTGAGAGGTTGGAAAGCAGTAGGCAGAAGCTCTTAATGGAGGTATTTTCTATGTGGACATAGATTAGCTACTTTGTCATGTATATCCCATCCAATGAAGTAGTTTTGATTTTATTAATGGGTTAAGGTGTAATTTTATCCCTAAACTATTCTCGGAAGAGTAATGTTGCTTTTAAACTATTCATCATAGTAATGTTGTCCGTAAACTAATTAAATCGGAGCAATATTGTCCTTGCCGTTAAAACGTTTGTTATTATAGCTAGTGGGGCGCACTTTTGATGAGTTAAAGTGTAATTTTACCCCTAAACTAATTTTAGAGGAATAATGTTGCCCTCACAGTTTAAAAATCATAAAAATAAATAAAAATAAAATTATAATAATATTAAACAAAAATAATGTTAAATATATATGTAAAATAAATATAAGAAAAAAATTTATAGTATATTAATAAAATGTCATAAATTAATAATATTATAAATTAGGATTTTATAACTTATCAAATATAAGTGGATCTTGGTTAAATTAGATACGAGTAGACTTAAAAGTATTTGCATTTGTATCAATAATTATCGAGCGAAGTTGTCATTAATGACTCGATTTGGACCGAATTGTCTTCATGATTGAGTTAGATTAGACAAGAGTTAAGCGACTATTAAGTTGAAAACTGAAGTTGAAGTGGGAACCAGAGCGGTTTTTAGAAAACCGAATAGTTTTAAATATAATATTAAAAAAAGCTTAAAAATTAGATCATACTAAAAGCCAATTTTATTTTTCGAACAATTCATACGTATAAAATAGGATTTGAGATTTTTTTTTTTTATAAAGATGTCGATAGTTATAGGTGCAAATGTAAGTACTTTTGAGTTTACTTATTTCTAATTTAATCAAGATCCACTTATATTTGACAAGTTATAAAATTATAATTTATATTTTTTCTTATATTTATTTTATATATACATTTAATATTATTTTTATTTAACATGATTATAATTTTATTTTTATATATACATTTAATATTCTTTTATTCAATATTATTATAATTTTATTTTTATTTAATTTTATGATTTTTAAACCGTGAGGGCAACATTGCTCTTCTAAGAATAATTTAGGGGTAAAATTGTACCTTAGCTCATAAAATGTAGGTCCCACTAGCTACCGTAACGGATGTTTTAACGGCATGGGCAACATTGCTTCAATTTGATTAGTTTAGGGGTAACATTACTATGATGAATAGTTTAAGAGTAACATTATTCCTCTGAGAATTGTTTAAGAGTAAAATTGCACCTTAACCCTTTATTAATAGTCTGATGGGGTAGCTGGTTTGTTATGTTGGCAGATTGACTCACAATCTACTGAAATAGAGAGGCTTTTTGAGGAAAACTCTAACATCTCAAGTTCTTATGAAGAAGCGATTGGTGCCGCAATGAGATGGGAAAATCAGGTAACAATCAATGGCCAGGCATTTGACAAGATATGGTGTGTGGTTACTGGTTTAGGGTATCATCTTTGTTAACCAAGTTTTATTGTAAGTCTTTATTTTCAATAAAATTACGGGCCATAGGCACTGAGCCTGTTCATCTCTTCGCTATCTAAAATTGACGAAAAAACTTGGTTCTGAACCGGAGACCATCACCTTCACATCTTTTCTCTTTTGGAGAGAATTATATAGTTATCAGATAATAATCAGTGATTTCATTCGTGCCAAGTATTTCATTTTGTATGCTGGCATCTGTTCTGTGTTGAGTCCGTGATGACCTGTATTATAAGGCGTTGATGGTGCCAGACTATGAAGTTTTCCGTTTTTTCATTAATGATTGTGTGCTTACGTGCAATCCTTTAGGTGAAGGAGTGTCTTAAGCAAAATGAAGAGCTCCGTGGGATTCTAGATAAATTGAGAATGGAACACGCTAGGGGCTTACCTCACTCATCTAGCGATGGGGCACATGCGGTTGTTTCCTCAGCATCTACAGCAGAAATGGTGTCCTTAAAGGTTGGTAGCTTAAGCGGCGCATGGCGCATTGTTCCTCCACGTTTCATGTTATCTAGCACAACAACGGGAGAAATAAATTATTGAGCTTACGAGAGTAATCTTTTTTCCCCCAAGGGCTATTATTGGATTACAGTTCTCTTCTCTATGCTTTGACGGAATTTTAACCCCCCTCCCCTTCCTTTTTACTTTGAAAGGGCCAACTTGTGAAAGAACAGAGCAGAGCCGAGGCACTATCCGCACAAGTCATGCGGCTTTCTGTGCAACTTGAACAAGTCAAACAAGCATATGATGGTCTTGCACGCTTGTAAGTTCCTCTCTTCCCAGGCAATGACTGAAGCTTACTCTCTGTTGTCCGAGTGTATCTTTTTTAAATATGATCTATGAATATTGCAGCTATAAGCCGGTGCTGCGCCACATTGAAAGTTGTCTTATAAAAATGAAGCAAGATGGTTCTCTAGCTGTGCGATGATGGCCGGGAGCCCCCCTTTTTTGTTAATGATACTCGGGATGAGAACCATTTGTCACGCGGAGTCGCGCGTGAGAACTATCCCTTCTGGAGTCGTAGGCGTGTACTAGTAAAGCGTATGGCATTTTTTCTGCACCATCATTAACGGGTAAAGAACAAGAATCAGAGCATCGAGGTTTATTAAAGATCATAATGACGATAATCTTGTATTAACCACATTGTTGGTCCAAAGACTCATTTTATAATACATTACTCCGGGTATCCAAGCAGAATATCTCGCTATTTACCTAAACGAGAAGGTAAACATTATGAAAATCAACAGTGTCTCAACTCTCAACCTCCCTTTCTCAGCCCCCCCCCCCAAAAAAAAAATCCCTTGTAAAATAAATTATCCAACTTGTATGTGATAACAATATTAATACTACAAGTAATTCCTTTTGAAATGGCATTGAAAAAGCACAATATTTTCACGGCCAAAAAGCAAACTAACTCATTTATAAATAATGTGGGGCAGAAAAAAAAAATTAATGCGGCTTACAATAAAATACGATCTCAAAAAGCACAAATTTTCACGGCTAAATCTAGCCGACACCCTATCAGTGAAAACATAAAACGATAAAAACGAACTGTTACAGACACCATGTCGCCTATCATTAACATCCACCTATTTCTGCCCAATACATAACTCTCCGCCAACGCTCATGCCTTTGATTTATAATTATATGGGCCATTTCAATATTTTGAAAGCATCATTCACAGGGTCTGTGCTCTCTTTATTCTTGGCCGTACCGGTTAAACCTTTCGAAAATTCAAACCAAACTTGCACTTGATTTAAGGCTGGGGAATCACTTTAATACTTTGGACCAACCTCGGAAAGAATCGGTGAAGCTCAAGTTCTGAAACATCTCCCTTAGAGGGGGACGATGGTAAAATTCCATAATTAACGACGAGAATACTTATCAACCAAGCAATGATGCTTAGTGCCCCTAACTTAGAAAGAAAGTAAAGAAGAAAAGGACAGAATAAAACATGATGGGATAGGACCTCGTCAATCATGCCTCTTTTTTCCCCGCCTATGCTAGCTTCACTAACCCTTTATAACAGAGCGCAATCAAGCCCATCAATGTGCGTAGTTCAGCGACCTTTCGAATTTTCAATCATGAAAAGCAAAAACATCTGTTTCTGCATCCAAATCCGGAGCCAAAAGAGTAAGGAAAACGAGCTGGGAGATGCAGAGAAGCTTTCCGAGCAAAAAACATCCGATCATCATCCCAAGTCCCGGAAGAAGGGAAAAAGCAGAGGGCACGCCTCTGCTACTCCGGTTGACGATGCTGATGGTAGCGTTCCCGGAGCCACCACAACCGATGGCACTGCTGGTGCCGGAGTGACTGCTGCTGGAGTGAGTGCAGCACACATGTCAGCAATTAGTGCGGATGAAGGTGGCAGTTCTCATGGTCACGGGGGTGACTATGGTGGTGGTGATGGTGGCGGGTGATCGTGAAATTATGTTATTTTCCTGGTGGTATTCTGCTATTCTATTTCGCGTTGCTATCAAGGGAGGCGTGTTGTCATATGTCTCTGTTAATTAATCCCCTTAATGTGGACAGCCTGGGGTTTCGAGGAATTCACTGACGGCATCCCATTCCCACGGTTTTGTTTGATAAGTGAGGAGCAGAATATCATAAAGCAACAAAGTTTTGCATTCTAATGGTCTTCCTTCTGTTGCTTCTGCTCTGTGATATTATTACATTCAGTAGAGACAGAGTTTGTGTGTGTGTGTGTGTGTGGTGTTTGTTTGTTTGTTCGTTCATTGTATATTCATAATCTGTTGTGGTGCTGTTATTGTCGCCTCTCTTCTCACTGAATCCTATTTGGTTATCTTTCCTTCCAATTTGGAACGGACAGGATAAAAAATCAGAGGAAAACAGAATTTTGAACTTGCAGGAACGGGGCCCAAGGATCTTACCGAATCAGAGTTTCCATTAGAAGCTTTTCTTCGATATGTTATCGACTGCTTGCTTGCTGCATCCAAAATAATGTTCTTGATATTGAGCTGCAGACAATCTCATCCACGAAAGGTGTAACCCTATCAACTCTGCATCTGAGAAACCAGTCCCGTGACACCTAATCAAGTTACGAATTAAATTTGCCGATTGCCATGCATGCCACTCTCCATGGCAATGACTGCGATGCCTTTCGATGTTGACCTGGCACTGCTGGCTGGACGGGTGTAGAAACGAAGGGCGAAGACTTTTTTGAATTCTATGGACTTGAAGACATGTGCTGATTTTGCAAGCCACACACTAGCGAAATAAAAAATAAAAAATAAAAATACAAGCTTACATAATAAAACTATACCACAATAAAAAATTAAAATTCAATAATTCATTTAAGTTCGTGTCATAACGTGCAAATAATTTAAAATAATTAACTACATTACATAAATAAAATTTATTTACTCTACAAGAGAAATTATATTATGATTTTTTAAAAAATTGAATTTATTTACTTTTTTTAAAAAAAGAAAAACTCATGGCATGAAACCTTCCGGGCTAACCTCTATCTGGCCCGATCTATGGCTTTGGGTTAAGCCCAAAATGTTATACATCACGTGGCATGCCCTAGGAATACGTTCCGCATCACAGCTCATATGAATTGAACGGCCTCGATCAACACAACAGCATCGGTGATTTTTCCCACCTGGAGGATCTAGACGCATTGTGATTTTCAATTTCCAAGCCCTAGCACCCATCGCTCCCGTTTCTGTTCTGTTGGAGGTTCATGGCGTTCCCGAAAACGGTAGGTCCCGTCCAGGCGGCCCAAAATCCTTCTCAACCGGCGAAACTACGGTGGGGCGAACTAGATGAGGACGACGGCGAGGATCTTGATTTCTTGCTGCCGCCGCGACAGGTGATAGGCCCCGACGAGAACGGCATAAAGAAGGTGATCGAGTACAAATTCAACGAAGATGGGAATAAGGTGAAGATCACTACTACCACTCGTACTCGTAAGCTTGCTAACGCTCGCCTCAGTAAGCGGGCCGTTGAGAGGCGATCCTGGGCTAAGTTCGGCGATGCCGTTCACGAGGATGTTGGCAGCAGGCTCACTATGGTGTCCACCGAAGAGATTCTCCTCGAGCGACCTAGGGCTCCGGGTTTGTTTCTGCTTTCATATGCTTGGTTGTTTAGTGATTAAATTTATTTCCTTTCCTCTTTCCTTTCTCCTTTTTTGCGTCAAATTCTGTTTGATGAGGATTAAGGTGGGACACTGCATCAGTTTCATTTTGTTTTGTAAGGCATTTATTACGCTTGTGTGCCCATGCGTTGGCTTCTAATTACATATTGAGACATGAAATAGCGATACTCTGAGATCGAGAGAATGGAATGTAAAGTGCTTGACACATCGTAAGCTCATCTTATAATACATTACTAAGCATATTTTCTCTCCTGCTGAACATAATATTTTTACAGAGAATCATGATTGATTGTGAGTTTTAAGTTGGTTATGTCCTCCCCCTTTTTCAAAGTCCCTTTTCTAATCAACATTAGATGAATTTCGCTGGACAATAAGAAAATATATTGCTGATTCTGAGTCTTCTTGTCATATAGAATATACTTGTAAAACTTTAAGCGTACAAGTTTTTACATCCTTTATTTTGAGTTTCTTTTGATTGGTAAATAATGGATTGGAGAAAGAGCATACAAAAACATTTCCAATCAAAGTAGCTTCCCTCATTCAGGTATCCTTGGGAAAAATTGAAGAAAATTAGAGAGTATGTTCTCCTTGCAATGGTGTTTTCTCTAATCTTGTAGTCTAAAAAATTGTGTACATTGTATTAATTGGTAGCTTGGTCAATCCTTCACCATCCATCCCTTATTTGATTGCTATGAAGTTGGACATTTGATCTTTTGAGTGGTAAACTAATGACTATACGTAAGTTGCGTGTGTTGTTCAGCATGCCAATCTCTAGCTTGGATCATTTGATGTATTTTTCCCTAGCTTGTGTTGGGGTTTCGGAGGTTTGTGGGGAGATTGCTAAATACAGGTGCGTCAACAGCTTTACTTTATCCCATAACTTGGGAACTGCTCAGATGGCACTTCCTTTAACTTTATCCCATAACTCGGGAACTTCTCAGAGGACTCTTCCTTCTATTTAAATGGCTTGTGTGCTTGATTCAGTTCACAGTTCAATATCAAGCAAATTTGGGAATCCCTTTGAATTCCCAATGTCACTTGTGATCTCCTATTGTCATTAGCTTCTGCCTTTCTTGGCATTGATATTTTTTTAAAGTGCATACAAAATGTATCTGTGAGCATATAACCTGATATGTAAAGCCATGGGGACCCTAGAAATTTTGATGCACCTGCAAGTACAAGTGACCATACGTGACATGGGCTTTACATTCTTTTGGTTCAAAGAAAAGGATGCAATTCTATATGTGTGAACTTTATTAGTCTTGAATTTATGCTTCTGATATATTGATTTTGTGTGAATTTGATCCGTTTGAGAAGTGGTGTTACATTGAAATCTGTGTGGTTATTGCATATTGTTTGTATTGTTATCCTGCCTTGATAGAGCTGTGATCCATCAACTCTAACAATACCATTGTTAACAGGTAGCAAACCAGAAGAACCAAAGGTTGCTGGAGACCCGTTGGCTCAATTCCAAAAGGGTGCTGTTCTCATGGTTTGTAGAACTTGTGGGAAGAAGGGTGACCATTGGACTTCAAGGTGTCCATACAAGGATCTTGCCCAGCCAATAGAATCTTTTATTGATAAGCCTGCTGCTTCAGAAGCTGCGACTGCTGCTTCTGGTCCAACCAAGGGAGCATATGTTCCTCCTGGTCTAAGAGCAGGTGCAGAGAGAACTGGATCAGATATGCGACGAAGGAATGATGAAAATTCTGTACGGGTCACCAATCTCTCTGAAGATACGAGAGAGCCTGACTTGCTTGAACTTTTCCGCCCTTTTGGTGCTGTAAGCAGGGTCTATGTTGCTGTTGATCAAAAGACAGGCATTAGCAGAGGATTTGGCTTTGTCAACTTTGTGAACAGGGAAGACGCCCAGCGAGCGATTAGCAAACTGAATGGATACGGTTATGACAACCTGATCCTTAGAGTTGAATGGGCCACGCCGAGGACGAACTAAATTTTGTGTAGCCCTTCGCTTCAAAACTATACTTTGAATGGCCTATGTAGTTTTGCTACCGGCATTGTATTTTCTTCAAATTTTGAGACTGTTATAATTATTTAAGTAATTGTTGCTAAGTTTGTGTGACTAATTACTAGGGAAAATTGCCATAAAAGACTTAACTATCAAATTAATTGCGGAAAATGAGTTGGGAGAGATTTAGAATTGAGGTTCTTGGTTGGCAATAATTGTTGAGGATAAAATGACAAAAATGCCTTTATTGATGAGAAGTGGAAGTAAAAGTTGAGCAAGATTTTTAGTTGTCAGTATTTCAAAAAAGATTTTTCGCTTCAATATATTATAAATTTTTTATTATTAATAATTTTATGTCAACGTTTAATATAAAATTTTTGTGTGTTAATATATCAATTTAAAATAATAAAAAAATTATATACACTTAAACTTCATTTATATATAAAAAATTTTATTTATTTAAATAATAATTTTTAATATTATAAAAATTATTAACTTAAAACATTTTAAAATATTAAAAGTTAGAATTTTTAGTCATATATAGCGATTCTTTTACTATATATATTTAAATTTTAATTACGTGTAAGGAAACTTTTATTTATCTAGATAATATTTTTTAATATTTTAAAATTTTTAAACTTATTTGAATATCACAATTCACAAATGAATATTTTGATTTTTTTTTTATGAAAATGTCAGAATATTTTAAAAATGTCAATGATTATTTTAAAAATTTACTTATTTTTTATAAAAATATCTATGAATATTTTAAAAATACATATGGATATTTTGAAAATGTAAATAATTATTTTTAAAATTTACTAATTTTTTATGAAAACAAGTATGGATATTTTAAAAATGTAAATGATTATTTTAATTTTTTTTATTTTTCATGAAAATATCTATGAATATTCTAAAAATACAAATGTTTATTGTGAAAATATACTCATTTTTCATAAAAAATATCAAAGGATATTCTTATGGTCACTATTGTTATATGTAAAGCTTAATCACACCATCTTAAAGTATGAAAAACAACAATTGAATACCAATAAATTCATTTATCATCAAATAATAACATGTTTTCATATCCTTTAACAACATAAATTATATTTCATTACAATAAGATAATAAAAGAATCTAGATACTATTTGCCAAACACCTTTAAGTGTAAATGCAACATTTTCATGGTAGAAGTAAAAAAGTCTAATGTCATTTTCTTTCCCATTTTCTTGAATTACTTTTGGAACTATTTTTTTTTTTAAAATCTCATTCCAACAAAGTGATCAAATATCTTGGAATTTGATGGGCTTAGAGATGAGCTTGCTTCTCCATTCTAGTCATAGTTGTTACCCTCTAATCCAAAAATCATCTCCATTTATCTTTAGTCCCTTAACAACAGTTTTCATTATGTTGATCCTTAATTTGTACAAGAAAAAAAACAACAATAAAAAGTGAGTAGAACATAAATTCTTCAATGACAATGAACATTAGAGGTGCTTAATCAATACCTACAAAAGAATTAAGGTAAAAGCATGCAAAACTCACATGACAATAAATCAATATACACAAATTCTATGTTATATATGCATATCAAGATCAATTTCTGAATTATTAGTTACTCAAATGTGTAGCTGAAGAAAACAATGAATTTTGCAACAATTTCAAATTTAATATTTAATTGAGTTCAGTTGCAGATTGAACCCTCAGCATCAGGCAAAGCAATTTTAGCTTGCAAAGCAAAAGCTGGAAATGAAAAAACAGATAATAGGGGACATATATCGAAGAGGAAACGATCTAACTAAATTGACGTGTTGCACTTTTGCTGTTAAGTGAGACCTCATTTTTGAACTCTTCAAGGCCTTAAGTTGAAGTTTTAGAGAGCCTTTTTACTGCGTTTTCCTATCCCTTCCTTAATTTACCCTATCAAAATCAAAGCAGTAATCCCTGAGTACTTTCTATTTGAAGTAGACCATGAGACGCCTATAATAAGGCTTAAGATATTAGTTCCAGCAAGAATCTAGTTTCTCACACTTCTACATGATTGCATTCTCACTTTGTGGTGTGGCTATCAATCTGCTTCATTAAGAGGGGGATTGAAAATACCTTAGATATTTAAGGTCCATTAACATCAAGAAGATGAAAATTAATTTTGAGATGTAGAATAACTAAAAACTTTGTCAATCATGATTGATCCAGAGAGAAGCAGATATAGAGGGATGTAACCAAATGGACTAGCAAGATAATAATGTTCCCATTCACACATTATTGGTTGGTAAAAGAGATCTTTGTTCTATCGTATATTGATTTTGCTTATTAATGAGCAGAATGCCCTCACCCGAAGTGGGTCTATTGAGTATTGACGGACCACAAGAAGATGAAAGCCACAGAGAAATCCACTGCCTTCGAGTACGAGCCCCTAGTATGATACCAGCAGAGCGAAAACCTTAGAACGCAAGATGTAAAATTTGCCTAATTTACCACAAGACTTAACCATAAAAACCACTAAATTACTATGGTAATTAGGAAAATAATCATCCTAATCACCTTATCATAGTAAAAAAAAAAAAAACGATAGTAGTTAAGTAAAACTAGCTATAGTAGGAAAAAAAAGACCCGGGTTCAAAGTCTACTATGATTATTTAAAACAAATATAAAATTTAAAATCAAACAATGCAAATGCAAATTATTAGGATCCCAAGATGTCAATTTAATTAATACATGACAAAACACCTGCACAAATATAAATCAGAGTTGAAAGCTTTTAGAAACATCAGATACTAATATGTTCAAAAACATAAGTTTAAAAGAGAAATTAAAATGACAATTTTCAATCATAGGAGCTCCTACCGCGGCTTACATGTATCCTGTCATGCCATGGCCTCCTCTGTGTAGTGTGTAAAACCTCTACTTAAACACATAATTAGCACCCATTTGACCTAAGGTAGAATTACAATGGTAATTACAATCAATTTAATTAATAATAGAAGATATCATGGAAGGAAAAAAGGTCAACTTTAGCTATATAAAAACTCAAAAGGCTAAGTAAGAAAACCCTACAGAGATAGGATCCCATAAATTATTTAATCTCAAAATGGAGTTTTAGAAGTCATTTAACCACAACAAATCAAAGTAAAAGTATTTGGAAGGCATGAAAATTAATTACAGTTGAAAATAAGTCAAAATGAGAAAAAATTAGTCATTTTTTCTTAATAGGGGTACTTGACTGTGGCTAGAGAACATTAAGTCACAACCAATTCTTTCAATAAAGATTTGGCTATGGCCAAATGGTCTCAAAAACTCCTTTGGCTATAGCCAATAATCTATAAGCCGCGGCCAAAGCTATCATATCAGCTACCAACTACGAACTTTTGGTGTGCATAACTTTTAATTTGGATCTTCGATGGAGGTGATTGAAGCACCACACATCAATAGTTTTATAATCTAGCTAATGATTTTGATCTCATGTTAGTCTAACATCAAACAAAGAATTTGGATACTCGAGGCCATAATTTTACATTTTTGTCTCTAAAATAATCAATCAAGTGTCCAAATCTTACATCATAAGCCATTAGCCCACACAAGGGCTTGAACTAGACTCAATAAGTCTTAATATACTTGTCTAAACAATCACATACATCAAACAAATCATAATTCAAGATTTAACCACCTAATCACCATAACGCACATAAAGAGGGGGTGAAAATGCAACTCTTTGCGTTCAAGTTAAATAATCATCCAAATCATACAAAAATCATTTAACTTGTCAAAATATACTTATTCAAACTATTTTAACACACTATCACAGTTAGATTAGGGGTTTAGACCTTATCATGGCCAAAACAACAACAAAAATGCCTAAATTTGATGTTTAAAACTACAAATGCAAGTGGACTTCAAATAAACATAAGTCAATATGAAAGACCCTTAGTTGAAAAATATTATATTTAAATTACACATAAATGATGAAACTAGAGACATTACAATTAACTACTCAATTTCTAGCTTCAACGACCTCTCCTTTTCTATTAGCTTGACCCTCGCTTGTAATTACAGGAGTGAGATAAGTAATTCAGAGTAACCAAATAATTTAATCAAGTATATTAAAGTATGACATTCACAACAGTTAAGCATCAAATATCACATAAGGAAAACCAACATGATTCACAATGCATAATTATAATGTACTTTGCATGATCAAATGCAACCGCCTAATACCACTCCTTATATCATTTGACTAGATCATTGGGCTATTATCTCATATAAGTCTAGCCCATGTGACTGGACTAGCCTCACTCTCCAATTATAAGGGGTCATCTGATCAAAGGCTCCCACACTCACTTTTGGAACATGAATTCCCCCTACTCGAATTTTAGGGTGTTATAAGTTTCAGACCCATACCGTCCAATCTAGGATCAATGATACTGAGCATTGTGCCTGACCCTGCCGTACTCATTAGTTGTTTATAATACTAAACACATATAGTAATGAAATATACCAACCACTATGTACAAACTCAATGGAGGCCATACCATATAGATTGCCCATCGTAATTCCTCTACTATACTAGGATGAACTCCCACCTATTATGATCATGCAAGTTCAATGAACAAATGAGAATCTAAACTAATGCATACTGTAGTAATTCGTCATTATCATAATTTCTAGAAATTACGTGGTTATCACAGTTCACACATCATAGTTTATAATGGCTCGTCATATAATCAACCCATAGCTAATTCAGGCTCATAATTTATATTTCAAATACCACATAACATCTACATAAACATAGTCATCAGGCATTTTATCACAAATATACATGCTTATCATAAACTCTTCAAACATCATCAATTATGATTACTTATCATTGTCGTACCCGAAAATGAGACGCAGACGGCACTTGAGCGGAGGAGGTTTCAACCTTCGGAGAGAAAATCGGCACAACAAGAGTCGTTACCAAAATTTTAAAGAAAATCATAAGCAACAAATTAAAGGAAGTAACGATGGTCTATGAAATTAAAGAATAGGTTCGGGAGTTGATTAAATATTAGAAAAGTGTTAGGCATCTTACAACACCCATTTGTAAGAATGGTTACATAAAGTT